CTCAGGCTGTGTACTTCACTGTTGTTCCCCTTCCCAGCCTGTGTACTTCACTGTTGTTCCCCTCCCCTGGCTGTGTACTTCACTGTTGTTCCCCTCCCCAGGCTGTGTACTTCACTGTTGTTCCTCTCCCCAGACTGTGTACTTCACTGTTGTTCCCCTCCCCAGACTGTGTACTTCACTGTTGTTCCCCTCCCCAGGCTGTGTACTTCACTGTTGTTCCCCTCCCCAGGCTGTGTACTTCACTGTTGTTCCCCTTCCCAGGCTGTGTACTTCACTGTTGTTCCCCTCCCCAGACTGTGTACTTCACTGTTGTTCCCCTCCCCAGGCTGTGTACTTCACTGTTGTTCCTCTCCCCAGACTGTGTACTTCACAGTTGTTCCCCTCCCCAGACTGTGTACTTCACTGTTGTTCCTCTCCCCAGGCTGTGTACTTCACTGTTGTTCCCCTCCCCAGGCTGTGTACTTCACTGTTGTTCCTCTCCCCAGGCTGTGTACTTCACTGTTGTTCCCCTCCCCAGACTGTGTACTTCACTGTTGTTCCCCTCCCCAGACTGTGTACTTCACTGTTGTTCCCCTCCCCAGACTGTGTACTTCACTGTTGTTCCCCTTCCCAGACTGTGTACTTCACTGTTGTTCCTCCCCCCAGGCTGTGTACTTAACTGTTGTTCCTCTCCCCAGAGTGTGTACTTCACTGTTGTTAATCTCCCCAGAATGTGTACTTCACTTTTGTTCCCCTCCCCAGGCTGTGTACCTCACTGTTGTTCCCCTCCCCAGACTGTGTACTTCACTGTTGTTCCCCTCCCCAGACTGTGTACTTCACTGTTGTTCCCCTCCCCAGACTGTGTACTTCACTGTTGTTCCCCTCCCCAGACTGTACTTCACTGTTGTTCCCCTCCCCAGGCAGTGTACTTCACTGTTGTTCCCCTCCCCAGACTGTGTACTTCACTGTTGTTCCTCCCCCAGGCTGTGTACTTCACTGTTCCTCTCCCCAGACTGTGTACTTCACTGTTGTTCCTCTCCCCAGACTGTGTACTTCACTGTTGTTCCCCTCCCCAGGCTGTGTACTTCACTGTTGTTCCCCTCCCCAGGCTGTGTACTTCACTGTTGTTCCCCTCCCCAGGCTGTGTTCTTCACTGTTGTTCCTCTCCCCAGACTGTGTACTTCACTGTTGTTCCTCTCCCCAGGCAGTGTACTTCACTGTTTTTCGTCTCCCCAGACTGTGTACTTCACTGTTGTTCCTCCCCCAGACTGTGTACTTCACTGTTTTTCCTCTCCCCAGACTGTGTACTTCACTATTTTTTCCTCCTCCAGACTGTGTACTTCACTGTTTTTCCTCTCCCCAGACTGTGTACTTCACTGTTGTTCCTCCCCCAGGCTGTGTACTTCACTGTTGTTCCTCCCACCAGGCTGTGTACTTCACTGTTGTTCCTCCCCCCAGGCTGTTAACTTCACTGTTCTTCTTCCCCCAGACTATATACTTCACTGTCGTTCCTTCCAGACTGTACTTCACTGTTGTTCCTCCCCCAGGCTGTGTACTTCACTGTTGTTCCTCCCCAGGCTGTGTACTTAACTGTTGTTCCTCCCCCAGGCTGTGTACTTCACTGTTGTTCCTCCCCCCAGGCTGTGTACTTCACTGTTGTTCCTCCCCCAGGCTGTGTACTTCACTGTTGTTCCTCCCCCCAGGCTGTGTACTTCACTGTTGTTCCTCCCCCCAGGCTGTGTACTTCACTGTTGTTCCTCCCCCAGGCTGTGTACTTCACTGGTTGTTCCTCCCCAGGCTGTGTACTTCACTGTTGTTCCTCCCCCAGACTGTGTACTTCACTGTTGTTCCTCCCCCAAGGCTGTGTACTTCACTGTTGTTCCTCCCCCCAGGCTGTGTACTTCACTGTTGTTCCTCCCCCAGGCTGTGTACTTCACTGTTGTTCCTCCCCCCAGGCTGTGTACTTCACTGTTGTTCCTCCCCCAGGCTGTGTACTTCACTGTTGTTCCTCCCCCCAGACTGTGTACTTCACTGTTGTTCCCCTCCCCAGGCTGTGTACTTCACTGTTGTTCCCCTCCCCAGACTGTGTACTTCACTGTTGTTCCCCTCCCCAGGCTGTGTACTTCACTGTTGTTCCCCTCCCAGACTGTGTACTTCACTGTTGTTCCCCTCCCCAGGCTGTGTACTTCACTGTTGTTCCCCTCCCCAGACTGTGTACTTTACTGTTGTTCCCCTCCCCAGGCTGTGTACTTCACTGTTGTTCCCCTCCGCAGACTGTGTACTTCACTGTTGTTCCCCTCCCCAGGCTGTGTACTTCACTGTTGTTCCCCTCCGCAGACTGTGTACTTCACTGTTGTTCCCCTCCCCAGGCTGTGTACTTCACTGTTGTTCCCCTCCCCAGGCTGTGTACTTCACTGTTGTTCCCCTCCCCAGACTGTGTACTTCACTGTTGTTCCTCCCCCCAGGCTGTGTACTTCACTGTTGTTCCCCTCCGCAGACTGTGTACTTCACTGTTGTTCCCCTCCCCAGACTGTGTACTTCACTGTTGTTCCCCTCCCCAGACTGTGTACTTCACTGTTGTTCCCCTCCCCACACTGTGTACTTCACTGTTGTTCCCTCCCCAGGCTGTGTACTTCACTGTTGTTCCCCTCCCCAGACTGTGTACTTCACTGTTGTTCCCCTCCCCAGGCATTGTACTTCACTGTTGTTCCCTCCCCAGGCTGTGTACTTCACTGTTGTTCCCCTCCCCAGACTGTGTACTTCACTGTTGTTCCTCCCCCCAGGCTGTGTACTTCACTGTTGTTCCCCTCCCCACACTGTGTACTTCACTGTTGTTCCCCTCCCCAGGCTGTGTACTTCACTGTTGTTCCCCTCCCAGACTGTGTTACTTCACTGTTGTTCCCCTCCCCAGGCTGTGTACTTCACTGTTGTTCCCCTCCCAGACTGTGTACTTCACTGTTGTTCCCCTCCCCAGGCTGTGTACTTCACTGTTGTTCCTCTCCCCAGGCTGTGTACTTCACTGTTGTTCCTCTCCCCAGGCTGTGTACTTCACTGTTGTTCCCCTCCCCAGACTGTGTACTTCACTGTTGTTCCCCTCCCCAGGCTTTGTACTTCACTGTTGTTCCCCTCCCAGGCTGTGTACTTCACTGTTGTTCCCCTCCCCAGACTGTGTACTTCACTGTTGTTCCCCTCCCCAGACTGTACTTCACTGTTGTTCCCCTCCCCAGGCAGTGTACTTCACTGTTGTTCCCCTCCCCAGACTGTGTACTTCACTGTTGTTCCCCTCCCCAGGCTGTGTACTTCACTGTTGTTCCCTCCCCAGACTGTGTACTTCACTGTTGTTCCCCTCCCCAGGCTGTGTACTTCACTGTTGTTCCTCTCCCCAGGCTGTGTACTCACTGTTGTTCCTCTCCCCAGGCTGTGTACTTCACTGTTGTTCCCCTCCCCAGACTGTGTACTTCACTGTTGTTCCCCTCCCCAGGCTTTGTACTTCACTGTTGTTCCCCTCCCAGGCTGTGTACTTCACTGTTGTTCCCCTCCCCAGACTGTGTACTTCACTGTTGTTCCCCTCCCCAACTGTACTTCACTGTTGTTCCCCTCCCCAGGCAGTGTACTTCACTGTTGTTCCCCTCCCCAGACTGTGTACTTCACTGTTGTTCCTCCCCCAGGCTGTGTACTTCACTGTTCCTCTCCCCAGACTGTGTACTTCACTGTTGTTCCTCTCCCCAGACTGTGTACTTCACTGTTGTTCCCCTCCCCAGGCTGTGTACTTCACTGTTGTTCCCCTCCCCAGGCTGTGTACTTCACTGTTGTTCCCCTCCCCAGGCTGTGTTCTTCACTGTTGTTCCTCTCCCCAGACTGTGTACTTCACTGTTGTTCCTCTCCCCAGGCAGTGTACTTCACTGTTGTTCGTCTCCCCTGACTGTGTACTTCACTGTTGTTCCTCCCCCAGACTGTGTACTTCACTGTTTTTCCTCTCCCCAGACTGTGTACTTCACTATTGTTCCTCCTCCAGACTGTGTACTTCACTGTTTTTCCTCTCCCCAGACTGTGTACTTCACTGTTGTTCCTCCCCCAGGCTGTGTACTTCACTGTTGTTCCTCCCACCAGGCTGTGTACTTCACTGTTGTTCCTCCCCCCAGGCTGTTAACTTCACTGTTCTTCTTCCCCCAGACTATATACTTCACTGTCGTTCCTTCCAGACTGTACTTCACTGTTGTTCCTCCCCCAGGCTGTGTACTTCACTGTTGTTCCTCCCCCAGGCTGTGTACTTAACTGTTGTTCCTCCCCCAGGCTGTGTACTTCACTGTTGTTCCTCCCCCCAGGCTGTGTACTTCACTGTTGTTCCTCCCCCAGGCTGTGTACTTCACTGTTTGTTCCTCCCCCCAGGCTGTGTACTTCACTGTTGTTCCTCGCCCCAGGCTGTGTACTTCACTGTTGTTCCTCCCCCCAGGCTGTGTACTTCACTGTTGTTCCTCCCCAGGCTGTGTACTTCACTGTTGTTCCTCCCCCCAGACTGTGTACTTCACTGTTGTTCCTCCCCCAAGGCTGTGTACTTCACTGTTGTTCCTCCCCCCAGGCTGTGTACTTCACTGTTGTTCCTCCCCCCAGGCTGTGTACTTCACTGTTGTTCCTCCCCCCAGGCTGTGTACTTCACTGTTGTTCCTCCCCCAGGCTGTGTACTTCACTGTTGTTCCTCCCCCCAGACTGTGTACTTCACTGTTGTTCCTCCCCCAAGGCTGTGTACTTCACTGTTGTTCCTCCCCCAGGCTGTGTACTTCACTGTTGTTCCTCCCCCCAGGCTGTGTACTTCACTGTTGTTCCTCCCCCAGGCTGTGTACTTCACTGTTGTTCCTCCCCCAGGCTGTGTACTTCACTGTTGTTCCTCCCCTCAGACTGTGTACTTCACTGTTGTTCCTCCCCAGGCTGTGTACTTCACTGTTGTTCCTCCCCCCAGACTGTGTACTTCACTGTTGTTCCTCCCCCCAGGCTGTGTACTTCACTGTTGTTCCTCCCCCCAGGCTGTGTACTTCACTGCACTGTTCCCGTACACTGTTCTCATCATCCTCTTCGTCAGGGCTGTGACACTGCCAGGATGTCTTAATGGCATCTCCTTCTACATCACCCCACGCTGGCAGTTCCTTCTTAATGCCAGGGTAAGTAGTGCCCACTTGCACCTCAGTGCCAGGGTAAGTAGTGCCTACTGGTACCTCAGTGCCAGGGTAAGTAGTGCCCACTCTCACCTTAGTGACAGGGTCTTTAGTGCCCACTGACACCTCCTCAGTGCCACAGTTGTTAATATACAAAATTTATAGGCTTTTTTTTAATGGTACATGTGTGGAATATGAAATACATTAGGTTATATACCGGCGATGGTGTTAAGTACAGGCACGTGTTGCAGGTCTGGGCTGATGCTGCCATGCAGATCTTCTTCTCTCTGGGACCTTGCTGGGGAGGACTCATCACCCTGGCCTCCTTCAACAAGTTCACCAATAACTGTCTCAGGTAACAAGAGTTTCTCTCTCTCTCTCTCTCTCTCTCTCTCTCTCTCTCTCTCTCTCTCTCTCTCTCTCTCTCTCTCTCTCTCTCTCTGTCTGTCTGTCTGTCTGTCTCTCTCTCTGTCTCTCTCTCTGTCTCTCTCTCTGTCTCTCTCTCTGTCTCTCTCTCTGTCTCTCTCTCTGTCTCTCTCTCTGTCTCTCTCTCTGTCTCTCTCTCTGTCTCTCTCTCTGTCTCTCTCTCTGTCTCTCTCTCTGTCTCTCTCTCTCTCTCTCTCTCTCTCTCTCTCTCTCTCTCTCTCTCTCTCTCTCTCTCTCTCTCTCTCTCTCACACACACACACACACACACACACACACACAACCCACGTAACTGTGGAAGTACGAACCTCATGATGTATTATGTTAATATTGGTGAAAAATAATTAACATTTACGTTAATTTTTTGCGAAATTTCAAGGATTTCCTTTAAATTTTTACTTAATGTCTCCCTCTGAAAAGTAATTTAGAGAGCACTGTAGCTTCCCTCTGGTGGCAGGCCCATCATTACAGGTCCATTAATGCCACTTAACGGCTCTTATTCCTTGGATTGAGCCTCAGCATTATACACATGTAGGTCTGATGACTCCCTGTGTATCACCCTCTTACAGTAATCTTTGGTTTAGTTCTTAATTGTGATTGTAGTAATAATCTTACATGAATGTAATAACATCAACTTGATACATTTCAGTCGCTGTTCGATCTGAGAAAAGTATCTGTGTATTGCATAACCCCAGCCTCCTGTACCTCAGTGCTTGTGAAGGGAATAGTGCAGAGTGCTGCATGTATTTCTAATGCAGTTAAATCTTAGCACTGAGGATATGAAGTGAATCAAAAAAGGCATTCACAAGTTATCGCATAGACACTAAGATACTAATTTATCTAATAAAAATTTCAAATTAGGACATTCACGGCCTGAAACTGATTCAAACCTGCCATTATGAAACTCCATTTTGAGGCCGAGCTGAAGATGCATTCTCTTGTTATCTAAGGGAGACCAATATCCTAAATTACACCAGCACACTAAGCAGTTTAGAATTTGTATCATAAAGTGATCAGCTTTCAGGGGGGAGGCCAATTGGTTATAATAATAATAATCAAAATTTAAGTAACTATGCAGGTAAATAACTAAGTTTTATTTCAACCTTGGGTGCATGACGTACAGTTTATAACACTGGTCTTAAGAGCACACAAGACTAGTGTTGGTATAAGTCAGGATAACCCCATTAAATCAAACTGATAAATTTCTGATCAGACGAAACATTCTCCATTTACTTCACAGGAACCAGTTTGATTAATAAAGCTGCCACATTATAACTTGCACGACCCAACATCAAAGGCGAAGCTTCCTTTGTGGAAAACACATGGACACTAAAAGTTTAAAAGTGTGAAATTTGAAGTCGATAGGATGAGGCATTCTTGAGTTATGAGCGAAAGAGAAAAAAAAGGAAAAATTGGAGAAACAAATGTTTTTTTAGGAAATCTCAAGGTCCTCCAATAAGGATACTTTATAATAATAAAAACAGCAACTAATAATGATAATTTTTGGTGACAGGGATGCCATCTTCATCAGTGTTGCCAACTGTATGACCAGCTTCTTCTCTGGCTTCGTTATCTTCGGTATCGTTGGCTTCATGGCACACGAACTGGGTGTTGAAGTTGAGGAGGTGGCCGCTCAAGGTAAGTCACTATGACCCATATGGGTTTGCCTTGTTTTGTATATAAAAATTACTTTTGTTAAAAAATTAAAGAGGCACAATACCCTGACTGGAACAATACACAAATAACCCGCATATAAGAGACTTGAAATCATGCTGGTGTGAGGTTTTTGATTCCTTGGTTCGAATCTGATTGCCATCCATTCTCTAGTGTAATATTTCATTCTTATGGTTTAATATTCGCTTCTTCCTGTGATAATAATAATGTAATTATCTGTATATTAATGTTTAGGGATAGACAGTAATATTCTGTACCACATTGCATAATATTTATTGGTGTAGACAGTGTAGTATGCGGTGCCTCTTGTGTATAATATGTGGGATGACAGTGAAATATTCCGTGCCCCTACTGTAGACAGTGTAGTGTTCCGTGCCTCAGTGTGTGATACTCGTGTGTTTCAGGCGCTGGTCTGGCGTTCGTGGCATACCCTGAGGCAGTGGCTCGCTTGCCCATCTCTCCCCTGTGGTCAGTGTTGTTCTTCGTGATGCTTCTCACCTTGGGTATCGGCTCACAGTTCACCATCGTTCAGACGGTCATCACCTGCCTCGTCGACTTCCTGGGTCTACACAAGCACCACAAGTACGTCTCCGCCAAGTAATGTGTTGATAACCGTCAAGTAACGTGTTGATGGCAGTCAAGTAACGTGTTGATGGGTGTCAAGTAACGTGTTGATGGCAGTCAAGTAACATGTAGATGGCAGTCAAGTAACATGTTGATGGCTGTCAAGTAACGTGTAGATGGCAGTCAAGTAACATGTTGATGGCAGTCAAGTAACGTGTAGATGGCAGTCAAGTAACATGTTGATGGCAGTCAAGTAACGTGTAGATGGCTGTCAAGTAACGTGTAGATGGGAGTCAAGTAACGTGTTGATGGCTGTCAAGTAATGTGTTGATGGCAGTCAAGTAACGTGTTGATGGCAGTCAAGTAACGTGTTGATGACCGTCTAGTAACGTGTTGATGACCGTCAAGTAACGTGTTGATGGCAGTCAAGTAACGTGTTGATGGCAGTCAAGTAACATGTTGATGGCAGTCAAGTAACGTGTTGATGGCAGTCAAGTAACGTGTTGATGGCAGTCAAGTAACATGTTGATGACCGTCAAGTAACGTGTTGATGGCAGTCAAGTAACGTGTTGATGGCAGTCAAGTAACGTGTTGATGGCAGTCAAGTAACGTGTTGACGGCAGTCAAGTAACGTGTTGATGGCAGTCAAGTAACGTGTTGATGGCAGTCAAGTAACGTGTTGATGACCGTCTAGTAACGTGTTGATGACCGTCAAGTAACGTGTTGATGGCAGTCAAGTAACGTGTTGATGGCAGTCAAGTAACATGTTGATGGCAGTCAAGTAACGTGTTGATGGCAGTCAAGTAACGTGTTGATGGCAGTCAAGTAACATGTTGATGACCGTCAAGTAACGTTTTTGATGGCAGTCAAGTAACGTGTTGATGGCAGTCAAGTAACGTGTTGATGGCAGTCAAGTAACGTGTTGACGGCAGTCAAGTAACGTGTTGATGGCAGTCAAGTAACGTGTTGATGGCAGTCAAGTAACGTGCTGATGGCAGTCAAGTAACGTGCTGATGGCAGTCAAGTAACGTGTTGATGGCAGTCAAGTAACGTGTTGATGGCAGTCAAGTAACGTGTTGATGGCAGTCAAGTAACGTGTTGATGGCAGTCAAGTAACGTGTTGATGGCAGTCAAGTAACGTGTTGATGGCAGTCAAGTAACGTGTTGATGGCAGTCAAGTAACGTGTTGATGGCAGTCAAGTAACGTGTTGATGGCAGTCAATTAACGTGTTGATGGCAGTCAAGTAACATGTTGATGGCAGTCAAGTAACATGTTGATGGCAGTCAAGTAACATGTTGATGGCAGTCAAGTAACGTGTTGATGGTAGTCAAGTAACATGTTGATGGCAGTCAAGTAACGTGTTGATGGCAGTCAAGTAACATGTTGATGGCAGTCAAGTAACATGTTGATGGCAGTCAATTAACGTGTTGATGGCAGTCAAGTAACATGTTGATGGCAGTCAATTAACGTGTTGATGGCAGTCAAGTAACATGTTGATGGCAGTCAATTAACGTGTTGATGGCAGTCAATTAACGTGTTGATGGCAGTCAAGTAACATGTTGATGGCAGTCAAGTAACATGTTGATGGCAGTCAAGTAACGTGTTGATGACCGTCTCTTCAGTAATGAACATAAGTTTGAACTTTCTCTTCAGTAATGAACATAAGTTTGAACTTTCTCTTCAGTAATGAACATAAGTTTGAACTTTCTCTTCAGTAATGAACATAAGTTTGAACTTTCTCTTCAGTAGTGAACATAAGTTTGAACTTTCTCTTCAGTAATGAACATAAGTTTGAACTTTCTCTTCAGTAGTGAACATAAGTTTGAACTTTCTCTTCAGTAATGAACATAAGTTTGAACTTTCTCTTCAGTAATGAACATAAGTTTGAACTTTCTCTTCAGTAATGAACATAAGTTTGAACTTTCTCTTCAGTAATGAACATAATATCCATAATATACATAAATGACCTTCCAAATGCTTCGCAATTACTCAAACCCACACTATTTGCAGATAACACTACATACGTCTTCTCTCACCCGAGCCCAGTCACGCTAGCCAATACTGTTAATACCGAATTACAGAAAATATCTACCTGGATGAGGACTAACAAACTTACACTAAACATTGACAAAACCTACTTCATTCAGTTTGGTAACAGAGCTACAGATGTCCCTCTTAACATAATGATAAACGGATCACCTATCACAAAACTAACAGAGGGAAAATTCTTAGGAATCCACCTTGATAATAGACTCAAATTTCATACACATATACAACAAATTTCTAAGAAAATTTCCAAGACTGTAGGCATACTATCGAAGATACGGTACTATGTTCCACAGTCAGCCCTCCTGGCCCTATATCACTCTCTTATTTACCCCTATCTCACCTATGGAATTTGTGCATGGGGCTCAACAACAATTAACCATCTCAGACCACTAATTACTCAACAAAAGGCTGCAGTTAGAATGATAACAAATTCTCACTACAGGCAGCACACTCCACCAATATTCAATACACTAAACCTACTCACCATACAAAACATCCATACTTATTACTGCACCTATTACATACATAGAACACTTAACTCTGATATTAACCCTCCCCTCAAACATCTCCTTGCCAACCTCAACAGAACACATGACCATAACACAAGGCACAGATCACTCTTTGATGTTCCTCGTGTCCATCTCACACTATGCAAAAACTCAATGCACATAAAAGGCCCTAAAATCTGGAATTCATTACCTGTAAATATAAAAGAAACACTACCTGTTTATAAATTCAAGTCTCTTCTCAAAGATCACTTACTCACCCAAAACCAAATAAATACTGAATAACTGAACCTTATAAATTGTATATCTTAAATGTTTCTCACAATTATATCACATAAATGTTAAACCTAAAACAGAACCTAACTTTATTATTTTTTAAATACACTACCTAACAGAATCACTACCTAACTGAATGCAACCATATGACCTGTCTTTGTAATACTCACTTGTGCTTTATAGTAATCTGTTTACATTAATGTTTTATCACTGATTTCATCATTGCTTAGTTAATCTTAAGTTAATTTTAAGCCAGCCCGTAATGCTATGCATAGTATAAGTGGCTTTGGCATACTGCTCTTATCTGTATTTTTTTGTACCTCTGTATGTGTGCTCAAATTAAAATAAAATAAATAAATAAGTTTGAACTTTCTCTTCAGTAGTGAACATAAGTTTGAACTTTCTCTTCAGTAATGAACATAAGTTTGAACTTTCTCTTCAGTAATGAACATAAGTTTGAACTTTCTCTTCAGTAATGAACATAAGTTTGAACTTTCTCTTCAGTAGTGAACATAAGTTTGAACTTTCTCTTCAGTAATGAACATAAGTTTGAACTTTCTCTTCAGTAATGAACATAAGTTTGAACTTTCTCTTTAGTAGTGAACATAAGTTTGAACTTTCTCTTCAGTAATGAACATAAGTTTGAACTTTCTCTTCAGTAATGAACATAAGTTTGAACTTTCTCTTCAGTAATGAACATAAGTTTGAACTTTCTCTTCAGTAATGAACATAAGTTTGAACTTTCTCTTCAGTAATGAACATAAGTTTGAACTTTCTCTTCAGTAATGAACATAAGTTTGAACTTTCTCTTCAGTAATGAACATAAGTTTGAACTTTCTCTTCAGTAATGAACATAAGTTTGAACTTTCTCTTCAGTAATGAACATAAGTTTGAACTTTCTCTTCAGTAATGAACATGAGTTTGAACTTTCTCTTCAGTAATGAACATGAGTTTGAACTTTCTCTTCAGTAATGAACATAAGTTTGAACTTTCTCTTCAGTAATGAACATAAGTTTGAACTTTCTCTTCAGTAATGAACATAAGTTTGAACTTTCTCTTCAGTAATGAACATAAGTTTGAACTTTCTCTTCAGTAATGAACATAAGTTTGAACTTTCTCTTCAGTAATGAACATGAGTGAACTTTCTCTTCAGTAATGAACATGAGTTTGAACTTTCTCTTCAGTAATGAACATAAGTTTGAACTTTCTCTTCATTAATGAACATAAGTTTGAACTTTCTCTTCAGTAATGAACATAAGTTTGAACTTTCTCTTCAGTAGTGAACATAAGTTTGAACTTTCTCTTCAGTAATGAACATAAGTTTGAACTTTCTCTTCAGTAATGAACATAAGTTTGAACTTTCTCTTCAGTAGTGAACATAAGTTTGAACTTTCTCTTCAGTAGTGAACATAAGCTTGAACTTTCTCTTCAGTAGTGAACATAAGTTTGAACTTTCTCTTCAGTAATGAACATAAGTTTGAACTTTCTCTTCAGTAGTGAACATAAGTTTGAACTTTCTCTTCAGTAGTGAACATAAGTTTGAACTTTGTATCCAGCAGTGACCATGATAAACATAAATATGACTTGTTAATTTTCGTGCAAGAGAAGCCCTTAATGTGACTGTTGTTTGGATGATTTTCACTAGGACGAAGGTCTGTTTCCCTGTAATCTTTAATGAAGAATGTAAGGAGGCATGGTTTAATAAGGTCCTGGTGTGTATGCTGTCAGTCTCTTGTTGGAGGTGAGCAAGGTCAGAGGTTCCGTGTGAGACAGTAAGAGTGGAGCAACACGAGGTCAGAGGTTCCGTGTGAGACAGTAAGAGTGGAGCAACACGAGGTCAGAGGTTCCGTGTGAGACAGTAAGAGTGGAGCAACACGAGGTCAGAGGTTCCGTGTGAGACAGTAAGAGTGGAGCAACACGAGGTCAGAGGTTCCGTGTGAGACAGTAAGAGTGGAGCAACACGAGGTCAGAGGTTCCGTGTGAGACAGTAAGAGTGGAGCAACACGAGGTCAGAGGTTCCGTGTGAGACAGTAAGAGTGGAGCAACACGAGGTCAGAGGTTCCGTGTGAGACAGTAAGAGTGGAGCAACACGAGGTCAGAGGTTCCGTGTGAGACAGTAAGAGTGGAGCAACACGAGGTCAGAGGTTCCGTGTGAGACAGTAAGAGTGGAGCAACACGAGGTCAGAGGTTCCGTGTGAGACAGTAAGAGTGGAGCAACACGAGGTCAGAGGTTCCGTGTTAGACAGTAAGTGTGGAGCAACACGAGGTCAGAGGTTCCGTGTTAGACAGTAAGTGTGGAGCAACACGAGGTCAGAGGTTCCGTGTGAGACAGTAAGAGTGGAGCAACACGAGGTCAGAGGTTCCGTGTGAGACAGTAAGAGTGGAGCAACACGAGGTCAGAGGTTCCGTGTGAGACAGTAAGAGTGGAGCAACACGAGGTCAGAGGTTCCGTGTTAGACAGTAAGAGTGGAGCAACACGAGGTCAGAGGTTCCGTGTGAGACAGTAAGAGTGGAGCAACACGAGGTCAGAGGTTCCGTGTGAGACAGTAAGAGTGGAGCAACACGAGGTCAGAGGTTCCGTGTGAGACAGTAAGAGTGGAGCAACACGAGGTCAGAGGTTCCGTGTGAGACAGTAAGAGTGGAGCAACACGAGGTCAGAGGTTCCGTGTGAGACAGTAAGAGTGGAGCAACACGAGGTCAGAGTTCCGTGTTAGACAGTAAGAGTGGAGCAACACGAGGTCAGAGGTTCCGTGTTAGACAGTAAGAGTGGAGCAACACGAGGTCAGAGGTTCCGTGTTAGACAGTAAGAGTGGAGCAACACGAGGTCAGAGGTTCCGTGTTAGACAGTAAGAGTGGAGCAACACGAGGTCAGAGGTTCCGTGTGAGACAGTAAGAGTGGAACAACACAAGGCTAGAAGTCCTGTGTTAGACAGTGAGAATGGAGCAACACTGACAAAGTCCTACTGGAACATGCTAGGCTAGTACAACCCTTATTTTTGTGAAGTCGTGACATAATAAAGTTCTATTCAGAGCGAATGTGTTGATGATGTGGTTCTATTGATGCTGCGATTGTTGATCTGTTGATGATGTGATTGTTATTTTGATGGTGTGGTTGTTGATAATATGGTTGGTATCATACAGGAAGATGTGCCTGGGTGTGTGCGTTGTTGGCTGTGCCATCGGACTCACTATGTGCACCAGACACGGCATGTACATCCTCCAGCTCCTGGACAACTACTCTGGCACCTACTCTGCTCTTATGATCGGCTCTGTTGAGGTAAGTCACTCATGCCTTCATTCCTGCTTTCACTCCTTCCTTCATGCCTGCCTTCACAGCTGCTTTCATTCTTGCCTTCATGCCTGCCTTCACTCCTTCCTTCATGCCTTTACTCCTGTTCTCTCCTTCATGCCTGTCTTCACTCCTTCCTTCACTATTACCTTCACTCTTTCCTTCACTATTACCTTCACTCCTTCCTTCACTATTACCTTCACTCCTTCCTTCACGCCTGCTTTCACCCCTTCCTTCACTCCTCACGGGCTCTCACAATATGTGTAAGTAAGTTTATTCAGGTATACACAAATACAGTTACATAGAATTATCATACATTGCAGCATATGTGTAGAGAACCTAGGATAACCCAAAAAAGTCAGACAGAGTGACTTATTTCCATTGGGGTCCTTTTACCTTATTATTATAATATAAAGGTTATAATATTTTCTTATTATTCTATAATAAGAATAACATCTTATTATCATACTAAAAAGACTATCTACTACACGAAGGTCATTAAGACTATCTACAATACGAGGGTCATTACTAGGAATAAGGTCAAATTTACACGTATGTGAACATGTGTTTTAAACAAGTATGTGTTCACCAAGACATTGAAGCTATGTTTTGCACTCCAGGGTGAACTGAAGAAACCCTTGCTGATGGGCGAAACCTCAGTGTCTTGACAATCGCACACGTTTCTCTTTCACAAATGTTCACTGGCTCTTCATCCTTGGATCAACCTTGATTACCTCCCATTCCCTAGGGACTGCATGACCCCTACGTGTTTACTGCTCATCCCACGAATATAATTTTAATAATAGTCATAATAATATAATAGTAGTAATAATAATAATCATAATAGTATAATAATAATCTTTCTATTCTCTTTTCTTTTTCTAATTATATGGTGTGTTTCTTCTTCGTCGTCGTCTTTTTCTCTCTGTCTATCTATTCATATATCTATCTTTGTTTTTTTTTTTAGTTTCTTTTTCATAAAACGTGTACCTACCTGGAGTTGATATGAGGGGGTCAGCGCCCCCACTGCTTGGTCCCACACCAGGCCTGCCACTTGACCAATAAAACTGAAGCTTCCTCACCAACCCGTGATGACTGTGTCATATGACACATGGATGACCGTGTCACATGATGCAGTAATGACCATGTCACCTGGTGCAGTGATGACCATGTCACATGATGCAGTGATGACTGTGTCACCTGACCCAGTGATGACCATGTCACAAGACACAGTGATGACTGTGTCACATGATGCAGTGATCACCTTGTCACATGGTACAGTGATAACCATGTCACATGACACAGTGATGACCGTGTCACCTGACGCAGTCATCACTATCCAAAATGGAAATGTTCTGTAGGGAGTAAACTCTCTTTCATGTTGTAAACAATATGAATTCTGAAATGAAGATGCTGGAAGAACTTATTGGAGGCTGGAGGTACCGAAGTACTTCACCTGGAGTATACATGGAGGGTGTTCTTGGGGTCAACTCCCTCGCGGCCCAGTCCATGACCAGGCCTCGACCTTGTAGTGACTTAACCCTGGCATGTGATTCATCTCAGTTAAAGTTACTGATGCTACATCCTGACCCTCTTTTGTGATACTTTCTTCTCCTAGACTGTCTTTACACTTTCGTCCACTATACACCGACCTTTTTTTTCCCTGTTTTTTTCTCCATTTTCTTGCTCGGCTCTTATTTGGTAATGGTCCGGGACTGACCGGAATGTCGTCCAACAGTTTCTCTCTAAAATGTGGGTCTTTGAGGTCCACAGAGGAAAAAGCTGACAAGTGGGAATAAAAACCTGGTAGCAGAGAATTTTTTTTTAATACAAGGTTTCTCCTAGCTGGGTTTTATTTAGGCACTTCTAAAATCATATTATTGATAGTATAAAATGCCGACAACTTACTTGATAAAGCCTAGTCTTGGGCTAAATGTTAAAGCTTTTATTAGAATGTAACTTGTATCATCATTCTTTTAAATGTGATGAAAATACTCACAACCTATTATTATAGAAATCTTTCTTTCTTGAAACTTTGATCATTTATCAGACTAGTGTAGGCCAGGAGGCTTTCTGCAGTGTTCCTCCTTTCTTATGTTCTTATGATCAGTTTTAGGCCCATTTACCCTTCTTGTAGGATTGTTCCGTGTATCGACAACTCAAAACCATTGTTTTTTTTTTCTAAATCTAAAGTGATCTAATGTCTAACATCTTGATTTCTATCCACCCACAGTGAGTCTTTGATTTTCATTTTCTGTCTTCATCTTCACTCTGGACCTTTGTGCTCTCTTTTTATGAGAACAGCTTATGAGACAAACTGTTCACTTGATTAATGTTACTCTGTTGACAGCTGGTGGCAATATGTTGGGTATACGGCGTCGACAACTTCATGAACGACATCAAACTCATGTTGGGGACCTACCCCTTCCCTCACTACTACTGGAAGTATGCCTGGAAGTTCCTGACTCCTCTCAGCGTCATGGTGAGTGCCTGCTTCAGTGTCTTCCAGACCTTGTAGTGACTACCAGACATGATGTTGCTTCCAGACCTTGTAGTGACTACCAGACAGTGTTGCTTCCAGACCTTGTAGTGACTCCAAGACATGGTGTTGCTTCCAGACCTTGAAGACATGATGTTGCTTCCAGACCTTGTAGTGACTACCAGACAGTGTTGCTTCCAGACCTTGTAGTGACTCCTAGACATGGTGTTGCTTCCAGACCTTGAAGTGACTACCAGACATAGTGTTGCTTCCAGACCTTGTAGTGACTACTAGACATGGTGTTGCTTCCAGACCTTGTAGTGACTACCAGACGTAGTGTTGCTTCCAGACCTTGTAGTGACTACCAGGCATGATGTTGCTTCCAGACCTTGTAGAGACTACCAGACATAGTGTTGCTTCCAGACCTTGTAGTGACTACCAGACATAGTGTTGCTTCCAGACCTTGTAGTGACTACCAGACATAGTGTTGCTTCCAGACCTTGTAGTGACTACCAGACATGATGTTGCTTCCAGACCTTGTAGTGACTACCAGACAGTGTTGCTTCCAGACCTTGTAGTGACTCCTAGACATGGTGTTGCTTCCAGACCTTGAAGTGACTACCAGACATAGTGTTGCTTCCAGACCTTGTAGTGACTACTAGACATGGTGTTGCTTCTAGACCTTGTAGTGACTACCAGACGTAGTGTTGCTTCCAGACCTTGTAGTGACTACCAGGCATGATGTTGCTTCCAGACCTTGTAGAGACTACCAGACATAGTGTTGCTTCCAGACCTTGTAGTGACTACTAGACATGGTGTTGCTTCTAGACCTTGTAGTGACTACCAGACGTAGTGTTGCTTCCAGACCTTGTAGTGACTACCAGGCATGATGTTGCTTCCAGACCTTGTAGAGACTACCAGACATAGTGTTGCTTCCAGACCTTGTAGTGACTACCAGACATAGTGTTGCTTCCAGACCTTGTAGTGACTACCAGACATAGTGTTGCTTCCAGACCTTGTAGTGACTACCATACGTAGCATCGCTTCCTGACCTTTGTAATTAAAAGTTGCAGTGACAATTATTAAGCAACTGAATTTAATTTCCAAAATATTCACTTGCATCATTAAAATCAATATTTTTTCACATAAAGGCTATTTACATTATTGAACGGCACCTTTTCCCAGTATATGTCATTAAAACTTAACTAAATAGCACATTTTTCTCAGTGAGCAGTTTATCCCATTGTTTACCATTGTGAAAATCTTCCTGCCAAACAAGAACTCCATCAAAATTCATTTCTTTTGACAGTTCATCCTGATCTTTACGTTCATTGACTACTCACCATCCGTGTATGGATCATACCACTTCCCTTTGTGGGCGGACGTTCTTGGCTGGTTCATCTCATTCTCCTGCATCATAGTCGTTCCCATCCGTGCTGCCTGGCTGATGGCCGGCAAGAGTGGACCATTATGGGCGGTGAGTGGCTGTCTCTGTGTTGTGGGTGGTCAGCTACTGCCTGTCTACTGTGGGTAGTAAGTGACTTGCTGGCAGAGAGTAACTGTCTATTTTGTGAGCAGTGATTGACCATTCTTGTCATTACCTGTGAATGTCTGCCTCTGTGATTGTATGTGAGGAACTAACCATATCACCTGTCTCCCTCCCTTTCATCCTTTCCTCTTCTCTGTGCCTCTCTCTCAGCATTATACTGATCTGATCTTCCGGCATCCCTCTCTTTGTCCATCTCTCTTCCCAATCCCTCCTTTTAATATTTTTCCCTCCCCTTCGCCTCTCTCCCTTACTTCTCTCTCTGCACATTTACTGAGCCTTCGTGTTTTCTCCACAGCGGGTGCAGCAGCTGTGTCGACCAGAGGCTGAGTGGGGACCTGAGAACAAGCGGCGTGATGATGCTTCTCTCAATTACATTGACTCCAAGACGCCTCTTGCATGCGGTGAGACTTAATGTTCTCTCGTGCAACAAGTCTATGTGTCCCTCTGTTATGTGTTCGTCATTTGTTGTGAAATGATCAAAGCCCCTAGAACTACCATCTATTCTAGAATACCAGTTCCTATAGGATGACTGTCTCACATTACGTACATCATCAACCATTTAGATAACGAATGTGTTCTATAATTTCTTTCTGCTCATTCATTTTTGTCCATGAACATTTTTACATTTCTAGCCAAATGGACACTGAACTAGTCGACAGGAATTCAATTAGTCTTTTTTTCCCATGATAGTTCTGAGTAAAGTTATAATCAACATAAAGTAATTTTAAGTAATTTATGAGTTCCTTTGGTGTTTCTGTTATGTTATTCACTAGCTCATATTTAAGTAAATATTGTCAAATGGAATTGAACCTTCTTGATAGGATGCACACAGTTAGGTGTTGCTTTTCACTATATCACTGTTTTTCCTCGTTGTTCTTGTATGTTTTAGTAATATTTGTGTTTTTGATGTTACAGATGATGAAGAGTACGAGATGGACCGCGAGTCTCCCTACCTGACACGGGTATCAGAGGAGTGGGAGGACGAAGAGGACGATGGTCTCCATATGAAGGCCCCCACAAGAGCCAAGGTCTAAATTTATTGTGCCCTCATTTCTATTGCTACCTATGATCTGCTGTGGCTACCTGCTGGAGATTATGCTAGGTAGCCAAGTCCCCTTGGGATTCGCTTTGTGAGAGTTCTAGTCCTTCTAGACACAATACCAGGTAAATATGTCCTCACTGGACCTCCTAGGGTCTGCTAGTAGCTACCTGCTCGAGATTATACTAGCTGGCCACGAGTTGCTGGGGTCTGTGTAGACTTGCTACTCCATGCATTCTCACAAGGATATGTCCCCCTCTTAATAGGATTTCATCTGAGGGTTCCTACAGAATGTATTGGAAAGAACGTCCCATTTCTGGGAGCTGTCTGACACCATCCTTGGACCATATCTGGATAATGCGTAGGACATCTCGTCAATTTATTCTTGCAAGGAAGCCTTGGAAGATCCTGTACCTGTAAATGGGCTCTTCCACTCCCACAGTCCAGAGTAGTCCACAAGTCAATCTTTCTCCAGAGACCTAAATAAATTACCAGAGTATAGCCTCATCTGCAGGGCTTGCAACTAGTTTTCTGTAGGTTAGCTTCCTTGGGAACCTAAGCAGAGCTTTAGAAGACGTCATTACCTGAAGTCAGCGTCTTCAGATTATTCTGTCGGTCAGTAGTCCTTTAGTGGTTCACTACTGCCTTTAGCACCTCTGTTCTTGACTGCAGTAGTGTTTCATCAAAAAGAAAGTCACAATAACGAACTCGGCTTCATTGTAGGGAGTAAACTGTGGTACTTGAAAATGAGAAAAAATCAAATCCACCTTAATGTTTGCTCTCCAACAAATTAGCTACAAAACTGAAACGTAAAACCCAGACTGCCATAAATAAACTTGATATGCCTTGATCTACTGGTGGGTTGCAAGTTTGTGTCACTCTCCTCCTGTATCATTATACTGTACCCAAAACTAGCACTTAAAGTGAAACTAGTATAATCAAATCAACACCAAAGATGTCATCTGTGAAAATAGGTAAAAGACACAAGTGAAACTAATGTGACATTTTATTGTGACAATGTTTCGCTCTCCAGGAGCTTTATCAAGCTTGACATAGCTCCTGGAGAGCGAAACGTTGCCACAATAAAATGTCACATTAGTTGCACTTGTGTCTTTTACCTAACATATTGTCGGCAATTCTACCACCATTAATACCATCTGTGAAAAATTGCAGCAGCTGCATGTTTATTGTACTTCCTGAAGCAGTAGACCTGTGTGGGCGGAGGCTCGATTCTCTGTCCGCTTAATCGCGGTGATGTTGGTGATGAAGAATTACATCCTAAAAGGATTTTTTTGCAAGTGATACATATTGGTCTTGTACAGAAGGAATCTTAACAGTTGTTGGTCATTGAGTTACATTGTCAGTAATAATTTGTGATTATGTAATTCTTTATACATGTATGCATTGCATTATTTGTGAGTATTTTGTGCAGTACATACACATTCAATGTACAATGTATATATGAAAGCGATTAGATTTAGTATCTCAGATGACATATATATATATATATATATATATATTATATATATATATATATATATATATATATATATATATATATATATATATAATATATATATATTAATTTAAATATTTTAATTTATTGTAAGTAGACATTAATACATATAACCCTATTTAAGCTCTTAACTACATTCATGTGGGATGTGAACGCTTATGTGTGTGTGAATGCTAATGTGTGTGTGAACGATTATGTGTGTATGTGTGTGCACGAGCGATTATATATATATATATATATAATATATATATATAATATATATATATATATATATATATATATATATATATATATATATATATATATACATGTATATCGAATCGAAGAAGACGACGAGAGCTGTCGTGAGATGGGAAAGAAGAAGGATAAGGAAGGATGGAAATAACTGGAAAAGGAGGGGAAGAGGAGGAATCAAGGCAAGTGGCCCAACCACTTTGGGACATGTGGTACCGAAGTACTGAAGACGTAGATGGAGAGGCTTGAATGATGTCGGTACTTGGCTCACTAGGAGAGGATGGCGAAGGCGGCAGCAGGAGCTGGGAGTGTCTGAAGGTAGCAAGCAGGTTGAGTTGTATTGGTGGTGGTCAGCTTGAGGTGAGTTAAGCTACTGTCCCATTAGAAAGAGTCTGGAACTTCGGTATTGGTATGTGCCTGATTCTAAATTTGCGGCCTTGGTCGGCCTCTGGAGCATTAAGGAGATTGATGAGTTCTCTATGGAAGAGAAAACGTGATGGACTAACGACGTATTTGACTTCGTTGCTCTGGAGGAGGGGGGATCAATGTCTGTGCATCCATTTCTTTAGGATAATCAGGAGTAGTGTAGAAAGAGAGTCCACGTATCGTATTATATTGTGTTTCATCCTTAGAGTGAGAGGCAAGTGAAGTCGTTGATTGGTCAGTTTTGTTGTTGATGGAAGACAAGGATGCTGCTCGTGTCTTGATAGATGTAGTGGATGGCGTTGGTGGCGGCTTCTCATTGGTGGAGGCTTGCGAGGCTGTGAGGGCTCTGATTGGTTCTTGGCAGTGGCGGTGGCTGGAGGAGGTGGTGGTCTCTCATTGGTGAATTGCAAAGTAGAGCAGGTGGCTTCTGCAGAAATCAAATCTTGCAAGTCATCTGGTGCCTCGAAACTGACGATTTTTGGGATAATCTTCAAAACATCAGCTGAAGCAGGACTAGCTGGAAAGTTGAATGATGGCAGATTGTTGAGAGCAAGAATATCATTCATAGTTGTATTAAAACAACCTGGGTTAGCTGCATTTTGCATGTATGCATACATCGGGGAGTAGTAGAATTTTGTGGAAATATCGTCTGGTAGAGGAGAGGCTGTGAGTGGTGGAGGTTGCTTAGTGGCTTGTAGAATCTTGGTGGTGGTCGTCTGAAGCTTAGCTATAGCAGCATAAGAAGGAGAGTTTCCTGTAGACTTCTTAATTTTTCTTTCAGTTTCTTAGAGAGGATATCCTTGCGCACTGGACATTTGGCTGCAAGAGTATGGTGATCACTCTTACAGTTGATGCAGGTGGGAGCAGCAGTGGAAGTGCAAGAAGTGGGATTTTCACATCAGAGCTTATTTCTTGGGTGGCATTGAAAATTGGGTTGGGCAAATGTTTTGTTAGTGGGATGAATTGTAAAGGACCTGCCTAGTATGGGCCAGCAGGCCTCCTGCAACGTTCCTCCTTTCTTATGTTCTTATGTTCTTAAAGTAGTGATCTGCAGACCCACAGGTGGAACATATCTTCTTATTCTTCACGTGGCAGTCGGCAGTAGAGTGACTGTATGAGTAACATGTCCAACAAGGTGTTATGTACGTGAAGCGTTCAGGCTCAGTCTGTCGAGGGTTGATGAAGTAGTAAGAGATGGCCAGGCCATCAGACAGGGCTCTGGTCGCCATGTTAACGTCCAGGAACGTGACCTTGAGCATCGAGGATGCGTTGGGGATCTTTACAACAGAGTCAATCTTGGCCCAAGTGTTGAGGTCTTCAAGTGATGACATAATTTCCTCGATAGACATGTTCGTGATTAGCCTGTCAAGGCGTTACATGAACACAGAGCGTTTTGCACGCATGTATGGTGACGTGGAGATGGTAAAACCACGGTCTTCTAATGTCTTCATGGCTGTAGGTGTAAGTACTTTGTCAGCTTCAGCATCATCGAGAAAGTTAACGATGAAGGTTTCTTTCAGTGAAGTAATCTTGGAGAATTTGGCGTGAAGACAAGTGTTGAGTGAGGTTGCAAACTCGAGCTTCGTAGTGTCATCGACGACAACAGACTTGGGCTTAATTCTCACACGATGAGACATCGTGGAGAAGGTAGAGGTTCCCCTCCCCAACGGGGATCGTAGGGAGAGTGAACAAGTAAGGAGAGCTGCTATGACCTGCCGAGGCGAGAGTCAGAAGCAGAATATCTGTGTATGTACATGTATATATTAATTTAAATATTTTAATTTATTGTAAGCAGACATTAATACATATAACCTTATTTAAGTTCATAACTACATTT